CTAGGTTTTTTAGGAAGTCAAGGAATGTACTAGAAATTTTTAAAGTGTTTCTAAAATTGAAGTTGAGCTTTTTGGTGTTTTTTGGGTTTCTTGAATTTTGTGTTTTTTTAATTGATGTTTAGAATTGTTGTGAGTTCTTGGATTTTGGGAATTTTATTTTAATTCTGGGTTGATGATATTTTTAAAGTTTTATCTTGAATTTTTGGGATTTAATTTGAAATTTAGGGTTTTTCTAAAAAAAAAAAAACTAGGTTTTTTTTTTATTAGTATAAAGATTTCGATAAATCTTTGAATTTCTCGATGGAGTCACAGCAACCAGAAAGGAGAAGGCAAGAATCGTTTTCTAGTTCTACAGGTTTTCAGGGTTTGGTTTAATGTTCTTAGCATCACGTTCTAGGTTTTTGGTTGGGATCTAGGGAATTTGAAGTTTCAAATGGGGCTGTTTTAGAGAGAAAGCAAATCAAAATAAGTTAGAGAGAGAGGGTTGAGGCAAACTAAGGAAAAGGTTGGGATTTGGGCTTTTATACCAAGCCAAAACGACACCGTTTTGGAGAAGACCTTGGACCTGTTATCTTGCAAGTGATCCGCGTGTCTACGTAGTGAAGACCTGACCTGCATCACAGGTATTCGCTTTTCTTTTTTCACCTTATTTTTTGTTTTTATTTTTTAATTTTTTTTCTTTTATCTTATTATTATTATTATTATTATTAGAGAATGGCGGTGCATTTAGTAGAAATAAAAAATTAAAATTTGAATTTTGAATGTATCTAGAAATGAGGTATCTATAATAATAAAAGAGGTATAAATTGAATTACCCATCATAAAAATGCAGCTATATAGCTACAATGCATGTTAAGAGTTCCTTCCATCATACAACTAAAAGGATTTTAAATCATTTTCATTTATATGATACTAAATTTCATATTCTATTTTCATCAAAGTATAAACCTAAAAAAAATGCTTATAAAATAATTTTTTATTTTTCAAACAAAAAAATTTTAGACTAAATAACATGAAATAAAACAAGTATGAACATTTCAATTATTAACAGTTAAGAAATTATGAATAAAAAAGAGTTGTAATTATTTTTTGTTTTATTTCAAATTTTGTTTTTTAGGTGTTCCTTCAAGGTTGATATACTTTTTTTATTAGCTTTTAATTTTTAATTTATTCTTAAACTCTTTATAATGGTAGATTATAAGTATAGTCTGGAAGATTCTTAATAGAGGTGTTCATGGGTTGAGCCAGGCCGAGCTCATATTTGATATTAATAGTTTATATGCTTACTCAAATAAGGCTCGATCTGAAATTTTGGATCTCAAAATTTTTTCAAATTCAATCAAAATTAAAAAAATAAATCTCAAGCTTACCTATTAAACTTAATATATATAATAAAAATTTTAAAAAAGTGTGATTAAATAAAGTTTAATAAGATTATATTTAATTCACATATATATAAATTACAAATAAAAATTATACATATTTTATTAAAATAAAAATTATATTAAAAAATTAAGTTTAATAAAATATATATAATTTTTATTTTAAATTTATATATATATGAATTAGTTTATATATAATTTACATATATATAAATAAAAAATTTATATATATATATGAATTCGGTTGAATCGGACCGGATTACAGTAAGGTTTTAAATCTTTTGTCAAAGGTCCAACCCAAAATTTTAATAAGTTAAAAAATTGTACCTAAGCTCATTTAACGGATTTTAATTTTTTGTTTAATCTCTTTCAAAATTTGGGTAAGTTTTTAAGTTTGATCAGATAACACAGTTCTTAAATAGGTCTAATTGTTGGCCCCTAACATTTTGAACATCCTATATTATATGTACTACAATTATTTATTTAAATTAATTAAGTTGACTCATGTTAAAATTATTATTTGTTAATTTTATAGCTTTATATAAATAAACCCATTTTTTTGTTACACCCAAATAAATCATTGATTTTTAATTTGCATCTAAACAAACTCTTAATCTTTAATTTATTTCAAATTAAGCTTTTAGCCTTCAATTTATACCCAAATAAATTCTTAACCTAAATAATTTTTTTATTTGAAATGTGGGCATATTTGAATACAAATCAAAAAATAAAAATTTATTTGAGTATAATAAAAATATAAGTATTTATTTAAAAACAAAAGTGGAATAGTTCAAGAGCTTTTTTAGTATTTTAGTCTAAAAATAAATTAACTTTTTAGTTTTCTCAATAAGGTTTCAAATATTCAACTAAGTACCAAAAGTGTATTATTTTCCTTTTAGTCGAACACTTATACTCTCGTATATTTATGATCGTTTTTAATTTGTTTCTTTCATCTAATAAAAATCTTAAATAAAACTATTTTAAATTTTTTTATTTTTTATTTTTCTCTAAATATCTGTATTCAACAGATGTGATAAATATGAGTATAAAGGTTTAACACCTCAAATATATGAAAAAACAAAAACTTAAAAAAATTAAATATATTTTTGTTAGATACATTCCCAAATCTAACACTCACTTATAATTCAAATAATATAACAAATAAAAAAAATATAACTTGGTTTCTCCAAAATTAATGTCAAAATTCATCACTAACCTTTTGTTTTATTGTTTATTTGACTAAAAATAATATTATACACATAAAGTGTTTTAAATCTATAATTTTTAAATTTCAAATACCAATTTTAATTACATACCATAGATCCATAGGTTGATATACCATTTTATATTGTTATACACCGAAATGGTGCACATGTTTTAAAATTATAAAAAGGAGAGGTTGGTGCAGCCGGTCCGCCGATTAAGGCGATATCAAGAAGCGGCATTAATTAAGGCGAAAATTTGAGAACTCCGGTGATCTCGGTGCCTTAAAAATTGACCAACGCAATTGACTTTGCACAACTGCAACATATTTTTTTATCCAATCATAAAATGTTTTATTTTTTCTTTGTTTCATTAGTACGACAAAAGGAATCTTTTTGGCCCAAAATTGCTGATGACCATTCATTGTGTTTTTAGTGTTAGACGCTTAGCTGTCAGATGTTCCACTTAAAAAGCGCAATCCCGAAAATAACCCTAAATTTATTGCGTAGAATTGGGAATTTATTTTTTTATAATAGTAGAACTGGGAGATTGATTCCAGCCCAAAAACTTTTTTTGCCACACAAAAAAAAAATTGTTCTTTGATCCATTTCAATTTGATCAATAAAAATTAATATTTTAATTCTAAAACAATCTTAAATCTGAATAGTTCGAATGTTTAATCTAAAATGACATAAAACACTTAAATTTATTTAAAGCAATTAAATTGATTTAATTTTTTTGCAAAAATTAATTTTATTTTAAAACTTAATAATTTCTAATCAAACTGAATTAAATTCATGTAACTTACGTGTCAAATTAAATTATTTGAATGGAAATAACTTAAATTTAAGATAATTAAAATATTAAATGATTCATATATTTTTACATAAATCAAGTATATAAAATTTTAAATAAAATTAATATATATTTTGATATATTTTAAATAAGTATTTTTATTACAAATGTTGACAAAGTTTTATTATTAAATAAATACAATAAATTTAATTATTTTTACATATTATTGATTTTTTTCGTTGAATTATATTATTTTATAAATTTTGATTTTCAAAATAAATTTTTATGTTACCATTTTTAATAAAAAAAACTTTACAAACTTCATTAGAAAATTTATTTAATTTTATCTGGCACAATTTATTTTAAAGAGAGAGAAAGTATATTAACTATTAATTAATAGAAAGAAAAGATAACTCATTATTTTATTTTTTAGAATCAATGTAAATAATTTTTTTAAAATAAATAAAGTTTGTTTGTAGATTGAATAATCATTAAATTGGGTATAGAGTTTGGTAAAATTCCAGCAATTTAGTATTCTTAGCTGTATAGAATCAGTTATTACACTATAATATTTTAGCTTTAACCTAACACTTTTTGTGACGTGCTGCACTTTGATTGGATAATGAAAACTAGATTCATATAAAAATATGATATGAACGGAATATTATATTATAAATATAAATATAATGTTGGAAAGTAGAGAACTTTGAACAATTCTAACTTTATAATCTATTCCAAGATAGGGAAATTATATTCAAAGGAATTATAAAATCAAGATAACCTTTTTCAACCCCTAATTTCAATGCTTCCACTCACCAATTACATCTTTTGTTTCGTTTTATGTGTTCTCTTATCTGAATAGGTAAGGCTTGAATTTATCAAAAAGTTTAAATTATTTTTAAATTATAATAAAATATTTAATATTTAAATTTTAAAAATTTTAACATGATACATAAATTATAAATTTATTAATTAATATGATATTCATTTTTAATACGATTAATTTCAAATAATGACACGTAATATATAAATAAATCTCCGTGTATACATTAATTATCAAATTTATAATTCAAGTATCAAATAAAAAAATTTTAAAGTTTAAGTATTATATTAAATATTTAGTATAATTTATAAGTTATTCATGATATTAATCTTTATAAAAAAAATGGCATTCGATATATGATAATCTTAATTACAATACAAAAATGGTGGAAAAAAGAAAGTGTTAAAGTTAAAAATTTAATAAAAATTATATATGAATGTAGTAAAAATAAAAAAAATAAATTTTACATTTAATATATTAATACGAATTATAACATAATAATTCTCGTATATGTTAAATATAAAACAAATAGATACAAATACACATACAAGCTCCACCACTAGAAAATTATGAAATTTTGGAAAGTAAAATTCAATCTTTGAAAACCTATGTCACCCCACAAAAAAATGTGGCAATCATAATGTAACATGCTTCCCACCTCATAGTTTGAAACTTTTATACAACCTCTTTCCTTCCTTATCTAACTACTACTAACAAAAATAAATAAATAAACAAATAAAATTTTTCAGGTTATATATTGTGAAAATCCTTGTTGTATATTGGCCCCTTGGCAAACATTCCCAAATGGAAATTTCTCAAATGGGAGCGCGCTATGGCGCAGTCATCCTTTTCTTGTTGCTCACCTCAACCACTCAGGCCAACTACCTCAGCCTGGTTAACCAGTTCTTGGCTCCTCAAAATGCCGCTCGTGCCGCCATTAGAATGCGGCCATTGGTGTGGGATGCAAGATTGACGCATTACGCTCAGTGGTATGCCAACCAAAGGCGGAAAGACTGCGCTTTGAGGCACTCCAATGGACCTTATGGAGAAAATATCTTTTGGGGTAGTGGCAATGGGTGGACGCCTGCTCAGGCGGCAGCGGCGTGGGTTTCGGAGGGTAAATGGTACAATTACTGGTCTAATTCATGCGCCGGAGGGCAGGTATGTGGGCATTATACACAGATAGTGTGGGGCAGAACCAGAAGAGTTGGGTGCGCCAGGGTGGTTTGTGATGGAGGAAGGGGTGTTTTCATGACTTGCAACTATGATCCTCCTGGGAATTATGTTGGTGAAAGACCTTACTGATTGCTTTCATGAAATATTTGCAAGTGGATTTTATGTAAAAAATGGAATGTGATATTAACTTCACATTTAGAAATTCGGAGTTGGTGTGTTTTTTATATGCAAAGTCAGATTTTTTTTTATCCTTTTGTTTTCAATTTGCTGATACTATATCTTGATATGGAATTTAAGCTTGGGAACAATGCTACGAGAAATCGAAAATCTTGATTTTCGTAAACAGATTTTCTCAACATATGAATTTGTTGGCTGAAATGTAAGTTTTTCTTACTTTCCTTTCTGTTTTTGGTTTTCTATTTCTAATTTACTGGAATAAATTCACTGCCACATATATATATATTTTCAAGAATTGAATTTCAATAGGAATATAATGGGTCATCAAATATTGGTATCATTAGTAATTAATTAAAGGTAAATAATGTTTGGACCAATCCAAATAAGACCACTTAGATTTTTAAAACAGATGACATTGAAGAGGAGCAATGGAGAGAATGAAAAAATGATGGCACATGGGAAAAACACAATCACAAGAAATTAAGGTGGTCACTTTAAAGATGAAAAGGATTTTTGTAGGGAAATGATTGTGACCCAACTCTTGATTTTTCTAACGAATTTTGTCCGCTCTTTTTTTTTTTTTTCCTTCTTTTCTCCCTTTTATTTCCTCCTTTTAACAACGCTTTCTTCTTTTATTCTATTTCTACCAGTTAACTAGCTAGGTCCAATCGTCCATAATATCCGTTCCAATCTTATCTGATGGCTCATCAATCATGAGATTCTTCAAAATTTTTAGATTAAACTTAAAAGTAACTATAAATTTGGGTGAATTATTGTGACTGAGCCTCAGATCGGCCCAAAATTTTGCCATTTTTTCTACACAGAGACATACAGATATGGGTTTTAGCCAGTGAGGCCAATTTTATGGGCCTATGTCAGAATGAGCTTGTCATACATGCTAATTATTCTTCCTCCTACAGTATGATTGCGAGAGAAACAACAAAACGGACGTGGAACAAATTGATTTATGCCGATTCCCCGCAGGGCATATAGTATATTAGACATCTTATATCTTATTTTGTATATGACAATAAAATAGGTATGACATATGCAGAACTTCGCCACCATTCCAGGTCCCATTTGATTTACAAGAACAATTTACATATAATACGGTCAGAGATTTTTAAGGCTTCATTTAGGGCTAATTTTTGTTCGAATAATATTAAGGATGTATTATCTCATATCAACAGGATATATTTAAAATTTTAATTGTAAAGTGCTTTGTACAATCACCGAACTTTTCTTGACAAAAAAAAAAAAAAAAAACCTCTTTTCTTTATCAACGAGACTAAGCCTCGTGGGAAGACATGATTTGATTGATATTGCTGTTTTCACACTCAAATACATATTAATACTACAGAGTACACACCATAACGTTCACTCCTCTAATTATTATATATTTTTCTAATGGGTACCCTAAAATATTTGTTAAGTTCACTACTTTTCGAAAAGTTACTTACCTTCAATGCAATATATATAAGATTTGATCAGAATATTTTCGAAAATAGTGAGGTTGAACAAGTATAGTTAAGGTACTCCTTAGAAACTTTTTGCTACTAAGTTTTACAGTCTACTTACGTACCATCAATATGGCTTTTCGCCAATATAGTTACCCGGCGGATCATAATTGCAAGTCATGAATACATCTCCATTGTCACAAACCACTCGTGCACACCCAATTCTTCTGGTTCTCTTCCACACAATTTGTGTGTAGTGGCCACACATCTGACCTCCTGGCACGAGTTGCTTGCATAGTCGTAATATTTTTCTTCCTCAGACCATGCACTCACAGCATCACTCGGCCTCCAATTTGAGCCACTACCCCAGTATATGTTCTCTCCCAGCTTGAAATCACCCTCTGGAAAAGAGTGTTGTAGCTTGCAGTCTGCCTTTCTTTGGCTTGCCCACGATCGAGCATATTTCTCAAGCTGGAAATCCCAAAACAAGGGTAGCTCCCATTTTGCTGCCCTAACCAAATTGTGTGAAAACAAAAACTCTAGTGACTCGCCAATGCAACCCCAACAGAGTTGCTTGGAGACTTTGTATATTGTTTCGTTGTCAGGTATTTTACCATTAGTTCCAAGAGGTGGAATTGATTGGGAAGTTGCTAAAAAGTTGTCTCTAGCCAGAGTGCATGACAGAATGAAGAAAAACAGCAACTTGGGTTTCATTTTCTCTTGGTAAAGAGCAGCAAAACAGGACAGACAGTTCAAGTCTTGAGATAGGTTTTGTGGTTTGGCTCTGATTTTGAAGGATCTATTACTTTTTATATGAATTCTAAGACGGGGTTGGCCCTGATCATCTGTCGGTTGGATGACTAAGACCATATTACATAAGATTGTGTGGATCACATGCTCCAATAAATTGTTGATTAAGATTTAATATATATGTTTTGCGAATTGGAGAATTAATGCAAGAAAATGTGTGGCTGTCATTGGCATGCAATAAATATATGATTGATGGTTGTCTCGTGAGTTTAGCTATGTCGTGCCCGTGAACTCCGTGTTGTTTGTATTATGGAACGATGTCCCCTCCATGGTACATTCTGGAATAGCAGGCAGAATATGGTCGATACGCGTCCTCCAACGAGGCATTCACTCCAATGTCGCCAATGATTTGTCGGATTATGATTGGGGTCCTGCTCACACGTGCCTGTAAATAACTAGTACTAGAATACAAGTCATAAGGATTGTGAAAAGTTTTTGGGGATGGAAACCTGAAATAATATTTCCATAAATAATTCAAATTTTAGGAATGGGCAATGAAAAGGCAACAGATAGGAAGGAGAAAATACTCGTTCCGTTCAATACATTTGGTCTTAAAAATTCGAATTTTGAATTTCTTTGAAAAAAAAATTGAATAGATAACTAAAATGAACATTTGGAATCGATTTAGATTTCTTAACCGCTTTTTACTATTTAAAAAATAAATTATTTATATTACTATCTATAATATATATCCATAATTTATATTTATAATATATAATTTTTTTGTTTAATTAGATATAGCAACTTCTTAATATATTCTAATATATTATATACACTATACAATAATATACTAATAATGTATTCTCGTGCAATTAGGCCTATTTATGAATCAAGTTCGGTCGGATTCAAATTGAACTTAATAAGAGCATTAATAGATTTTAAATTTTGTCAGATTTAGTCTAACCAGATATATAAACCTTCATTTGATGCTCGGGCCCGACTTTAAAGTAAAAGAAGCTGTTCAAGCCCATTCAGATCTATTTAGATTTTAATTTTTTTTAAAAAAATAAATTTTATAATAAATATTAATTATGACAAAACAAATAAACTAACAAAATAAGTATAAAAATATGACTTTATTAATTTAATTTGGTATTTAGATGAAATTAAATACATATAACTTATTAATTTTATATACATAATTTAATTATCTATTTATTTTTTTATATGATATAATCATAAATATAAAAAAAAAAAAAGAAATGTAACTACCGGCCTGGGCCTTAATTTTACATCTTCTAAACTCTTTCCCACCGAAAACAAATGAAATCTCATCCTTATATGAAATTGTCTTTTAAATGCCTTTCTAGTTCTAAATTAAGCTAAAAAGCTCATAGAAATTCTTTCATTAATATTTTATAAACTAATAAATTCAAAAAAAAAAAAAAAGCTAATGGGTCTTGTTATTCCACTTGACATGACGAAAGTAAATGACTGCATTTTGAAGGGAGAGAAAGGTATACAGGGTTTGGGAGTTAAAGGTAGATACGAGTAAAAATCTGGATAAAAATCACCCAAAATGAAGATTTTGTGTGTGAGAGATCTTATTAAAAATCTAAATAAAAAAATTCAGATGGGATTAAACAATATTAATAACCCGAAATGTGGCAATATTACCAAGTAGCAATTACATAGAAATTAAGGAACAAATATCACTTTCAGATTCAATATTTTTGCATTGCTGCTAAAAAAAATAGTTTTAGCAACATTAAATATTGTTATAAAATTACAATTTATTGTAGCTAAAATTTTCTTCTAACAAAAAAAAAATCATCACAAGGTTATTGTGCGTACCTTCGTTTAGTGATGAATCTTCATATTTAATTTTGAGGGGATCAATTAAAAATTTAATATTATATATATTTTATTTGACTTATGTTATTTTACTAACATAAGACAATATACAAGTGATATACTAATAAAAAATCACAAGCTTATAAAATCATAAATTTTATCAATTTATAAATAAAAATATAAGAAAATAAAATACATTAAATAAATAATTTTATCTAAAATTGTGAGCTTGAAATTTTATGTGATTACCTAAAATTGAAAACTCAATTTCACCGTGAATCAATCTATCAAATAAAAAACCTTTTCACTTGTTCATCCAAAATTGTTTTTATTCGATCAAAAATCAAATCCTATCAAGTCATTTTTTAAAAAAAGAAAAACATAATATCAAGTCATGCTGGTTGTTGCCTAACTTTCAGTTGTATTAAAATCTATCAAATCATTACAAATAAATATATATATATATATATATATATATATCAAAATAGTCATTATTAGGTATAGAGCATTAACAAAGTATCAAGAAAAGAAGTTATTGTATAGAGCTAAAAGACAATCAGAAATAGATTATATAAAAATAAAAATAAACTAATAAACTAACTTTTAGCAATTTTGTTATACATGCTTTTAAAAGGTTGAAAGGTTAAGAGAAAAAAAAAAAAAAAAAACAAAAAGGGATAAGAAACTTTCTAAAATAAAAAAAATACAATAATTAAGTCAAAAAAAATCTAAATTTATTTGTTTTTCGTAGAGAATAGATGGATTTTCTCCATTGATGGAGAGCGAAAAAACTTTAGAGAGTGGAAAATATTTTCAAATATTTGATAATTTAAAATTTAGGTTTTTAAATTTAAGGGTATAATAAGATATTCATTATTTAAAAATTTTGATAAATTATCTAATCCTATGGATTGAAAACAATCCTCTACTTTTCAAGGAATGGAGTTATCTTATTAGCATAGTATATCTAATTCTTTTAATAATTCAATCTTTTTATTTAAGTGCATAACAAACATGTAATACGATAATTAATATTCTAGCCTTCAACTAATCTTATGTGTCAAACATAGCCTACATATATTAAATAAATTTAAATTAACCCCCTCAAATTAAAGGATTAAAATATATATAGACTCTTCTATTACTGCAACTATATGATCAAACTTTGGAGTTAGGTTTTGTAAAACTTTGAAAATAACTATCTTGTCAATAATTTTATTACTATAAGATCTCAGTTGAGTAACAATAGAAATTACTCTAAAAAGAAAATCTTACACTATTTCCTTACTTCTCATCATCAAAGTTTCAAACTCATGCCAAAGAGTTTAGAGTTTCACAACAATAACTTTTGAAGAGCCTTGAAACTCTTTTTGCAAGGTTTTTCAAGCTTCCTTTAAAGTGTTGACTTGCTACAATCCTGGAGAAAAGTGTTTTATAAACTACCTGT